CCAAAAACGATGGCGTGAATTTCGATACTTGGAGTATGTATTATATTATCTTATCTGATATTAATCAGTGGACCTTTCGGTTTGTGTGTGTGTGTTTGCAGAATTTGTTTACAAGAAAGCCAATTTTGTAAGAACTACTACAGCAATACTGTTATAGTTTTTACAAACCTATGCTGACAGTTGTGCTAACTTGTTGAATGTTTTATAGTATAATAAAGAAGTAAGAGATGGGTTTGTTTATGTTTGCTGCTGATTTGGTGGAAGATTAGTAAACAAATGAATGTATTGATTGTTTTTAGGTAATCCGTGCTTACTAGAGTATTGTGTGAATGGCGAATGTTATATATTAAATAACATTGCAACCTGTAATTGTACTGGAACCGGATATGATGGTAGTGCCTGTGAACAAGGTAGGTCTTCAGGTTCTGTGAAATGTTTCTTACAAAAATAATGGCAAAAAGCAAACCCTTCTTCTATTGATCTATTCTTTCGTTCATCCTTTCGTCTGTGTATGTACACCCGCCCACTTAAGGATTTTCGTACTATAATCTGATAATCAGTGTTTAATTTGTGTTTTATCGGAAGTTATTTCTTTATTTGATCCTTATAAATAAGCTATAAATAATAATAATAATAATAGTGTAGTTTTATATAGCGCAAAATATATTTTGATTGATTTTTTAGGGTCTTTCATGACAAATGGTATATCTTTAAAATTTAAACAACCCTTTCACTAATCGCATTTACACGGTATGCCACCTTTATATTTTTACAAAGGCATATCCTGATTTTGAATTGATGGTGTTTTTATTTAAACATGACAATAAAAAATAACATGTAATACATTAAAAGTATAATAGTTTTAAAATTTGTTTTTAAGATATTGAGAATCCAGTTCTAACATGCCCAGGCAGCTATTCTGCCAACACACCACCGGGAGAAGCAACCAAAACTGTAGAAGAATTCAACGTTACAGTTGAAGATAATTCTGGTGAAACACCTGTCATTACCTCCGATTTTCCAGTTAATGGTACATTTGGTATTGGTCTCACTGTGGTTACATACCAAGCAACTGATTCTTCCAGTAACGGAGGAATGTGTACTATTACAGTCACTATATATGGTAAGTACTAAAGTATAAAAATACGCTATTATGTTTTGGACAGCTATTAATTTCAAAATTGTTATGGGCCTACAGTAATAAAATCAACAGTAATAAAACAAAATTAAGGCAATACTTTCCTGCCCCAAAAATATGCCCCTAATAGTGGTGTCTCCAAAACTAGGGTACTAATATTTAGAAGACAGGAAACAATTAAAGTGCTTTCTTAATGACAGGTGGAATAAATACCATGAATGCACAGACTACCTTTAAAGAAGAAAAACATTTTGATTTATGATTCAAAATTTTTTAAATTGTGAATGTTATAAACCATTATTATTTTCAGCCGATTATATTTTGTGATAGGGGATATAATGTTGACTTCTTAATAAAGGTTGAAACGTTCTTTTTTTGCCATAATAAAGTCAGAATTGTTTTTTTTTTTATGATTATTATTATACTGACATGCAAACATTACTTAGTATTGCTTATCTATTGTACGAAATAAATAAATATTTACTGTGTATTTTATAAAGTATGGAATATGGAATATAAAGGGGAATTATTAAATTTTAATGCAGTTTGATGACTATGCTAAATATTAAATTCTATTTGTTTCATAAATATAACAATTTCACAGTAAAATGCTGTTATTATATAGGGCCTACTCTATAATGTATATTAGCAAGTGGAGTCAATAATATAAGACATACGCAGGCATGCAGCATAGTAGGCCTACGGTCAGCCAAAATAGTGGTTGTCAGTCAGTCTCTGTGCCTTGTAACGTGGAGATCCTTTGGTATTCCTTTGTGTGTCAGCTGGGGGACTCAAATGCAAGGCCTACATTTCGCCCTCTAATTTCGAGACCACTTTGGGACCTAAAAAATTGGGGTGGTCTTTGGATTTGTTCTCCACTTATACCACGTCTATATTTTGTTACTTTACATTGTTACCAAATCTAAATAAATATAAAATGAGTCTTCTGATTTTCTTGGATTTTTCTTGGTGTCCACACCGTAAACCATAGTGTATTAGGATAAGTACACAAACGTACACAATTTATAATGATTGATTGGATGATGTTTTAAAAGCATTTACGTTACTTTTTTAAGACATGGAAAATCCAAACATAACCTGTCCAACAAGTGAAACGGTAATGACTGATGACGGTCTACCAACTGCAGTGTACAATTACACAGTGGTCGTTTTAGACAACTCAGATGAGGCCATATCACCTGTATGTTCCATGCAATCTGGTTTTCCTTTTCCAATCGGTGAAACAATAGTGGAGTGTAATGCAACAGATTCATCTAACAATTCTGCTTCATGCAGTTTCATGGTCAATGTTGAAGGTAAGACAAGACGGAATAAACTTTCTTTCAAATATCATCATTTATAAATATTGTTATTGTTGTTGTTATTCATACGTACTATAATACTTATCACAATAGTTTTGTAAGGTAACATTTAGTGGGTACACAAAAAGAAACATTGATTTAACTGTTAAATTGGAATTCACATCAATACAAAGTAAACGTTTCTGATCAAACTCTAAATTTCATAATCTACTCTTTCAACTTCATCATTCAACTGTAGAGGTTGATATTTATAACATTTGCATTAGGCCCTATACATTTTATGTTGAATAAGGCACAAGGAACTTTATTATTTTTGTCACAGACCAGGAACCTCCAGTCATCAATTGTCCTAGTAACATTTTCATGCAGAGTGCTGTTGGAGTTTCCAGCTTACTTGTAATCTGGGACCAAGTGAACGCAACTGATAATTCACAGAATCCGCCTACGATTACATCCAACTACAACAGCAACAATTCCTTTCCTGTTGGTATTACAGAAGTAAACTTTGATGCAACTGACGGTTCTGGCAATTTAGCAAATTGCTCATTTACTGTTACAATTGAAGGTAACCATACATAGTTCACTCATATAATTTAACAATACGGCTGTTTTTTGTTTTTTTTGAAAAAACATATGGTCCTTTATTAACATTTATTATATTTATTATTGTCATTGTTTCTCACAACAAAAGACAACTCCCCTCCCTAAGCCTCATACAGAGATGAGGAATTCGAGAGCGTGAGAAAAAATTTTCCCAACTGGGTTACGAACCTGGGACCTTGTCTCTTTATTCAGACGACCTAAACAACTGGGCCATTGATGCTTTGCTGGGAATTCAAATCCAATTAAAGCAACTAAAGCTTCGCACTCTTGTGCAAGTGTAGTTAGACAGCACTTGACGCATGGCAAATAACAGGTCAATATGACCGCAAGCATGACAACAAGGCAGAATCTCCAAAAAGATACTTTTATATTTATAGCGTTACCGTAAGATGGTTTATCTCTATTATCATGATTTATATAATTGTATATATCACTAAATATAATTATATTGTTGTGATATGTTGTTGGTCTATTTCATTGTATGATTGCCGTTTCTATTCTGGATGGATATATGCCTATTATTATCATGAAATATTTTTTTTATTCTGTAGCGTATAGAACATTCTTGATTGTGATCGAATTCAATGAAGTAGACGGTGTACCATACAGTTTCACTGAAGCACTTTTAAATTCCTCATCAACCCAATCATCT